AACATCTTGAGCAGGTTGGCAGGCTGCTCTAAGGTCACTACAAGGGCCTGGAGGGTGTAGAGAACCTGCAGCTCCTTCTGCTCATCACACAGGTACTTCTGTAGCAGTTTCACTTGCGCTTTCAGCACTGCAACATCCACTCAGAGGGATAATTGCAGAATAGCAGACAGATGTCATGAAGGCTCGAACTAGAATGTTAGATGCTACCTGCTGCTCACTCAGGTTGGCCTCTATCCACTCACACACACCCACTCATTATTTCTACCTTCTTTCAGCAGTTTCTTCAGCTGCCTGTCCAGCTCCTCTGACTTCTCTCCCAGAGTATACTCCACATTCTGTTTAGTGACGAATGCACCGACGTCCTGACCTTCAGGAAGAAATTCCTTTCAGCTGAGCCTAGCCTCTTGCCACAGTGTCACCACTTTTTTTGAATCCATGCTTTTGCTCAGGAGCCCCAGCATCTCCAAGAGCAGAGAAGCAGCCTTGTCCTCGGGTCTCAGAGGTCTGAACATGAACTCCTGAACAGAAGGTCTCTCACAACTTCCTTCTTACTTAGCTCCTTAATTTTCCTTCTCTTCTTTGGCACTTGTTTGCTAAGTGTCATTTCTACCTCCAGTATGGGTTCCAAGAGGGCAGTGGGTTCTGGTGAGATGCAACACAGCTCCCCAGTTTCATGGGGCATGAGGCTTGATTCTTCTACAGACATCTCTATCATCCCCATTTTCATAGTGTCCTCAGGAATAGGGAGGACTTCAAGATTAGGCTCAGTGTCTAGACGGGGCTGGTAAAAGGAGATGGGAATAAGACTCTTACGATTCAATAGTGAGTAATTGTATGACTGATTGCAATTGTCGCAACTATAAAGGTAGAGATTTTGTAACAAAAAGGGGGGAGTGTTTGATCTTGCAGTCCAGGAGCGGAGGAACCTGGGACTATCAAGGGAGAAGAGTGGGAGCAGAGTGTGGGACCCTATTCGGAGAAGCGGGAACGCCAGAGATGGAGGCAGAGATGATGACGTGGAGAGATGGAGCAGCTGGAGACTCTAGACTCATGGAAGGAGCGGGGCTGTGCTGGTGGCCGGGGGGCAGGCTTGCAGGGTATACCCTTTGGTTATTTGAATGATTGTATATTCCTGAGTGTTTTGGTGTACATGAAAAAGAAAAACAGAGGAAATAGAAGCAAATGCTGTTGGAATCATGATGCATGGAGGGGATTGTAATCATTGCAGTGAAACGAAATACAATAGGATGAGTGTAAAACTTTTGTTCTCCCATGTAAACTGTCACTCAATTCACAAAACTTTAAAAAAAAAAAAAAAAAAGATTAGGCTCAGACTCTCGTTCCAAGACTGGAGGTAGTGATGGGGTTGGAGAAGGTAATGAAGGCTGGGATTCTAAGGTCTGTGCTCTGGGCCAAGCAACCCTGGCTGACCCCCAATGATCGCTCCTTGTGACCGGTCATCTGGGCAGACAATCACAGCAACCTGGTGTGTCTCCCCATTAGCTTGAGGCTCCAGATCGCCTCTCATATGGGGAGGGGTGGGAGTGGAGACAGTGCAGGCCCCAGACATGATCTCCTTTGTGAAAACCTTCCCCCCTTGATTTTGATCTTGAATTCGGATCATCTTATGTTCCATCTTAGGTGCAATATGGGGGGTGGCTGATTCATCAAAACTGGGGTGGGGCCCACACCAACGAGAAATGGCTGCATGCCTTGGGTTGGGTAGTAGGCGCCAGCATAGGTCCCAAACTCTGTAGGGCTTGTACCTGGATAGAAGTTGGGGTCTCCTGGCTGCATGAGGTATTGCTGTGGCTGGACAGCATATGTGGAATGCCCCTGTCCAGGGATATAGTAGGTCCCCTGGGAGGGTGGGTAAGAGATCTGGGAAGGGATCATCATTACTTGGGATCCAGCAGGGTAGACATGGGCAGCTGGGCCAGGGTGGGCGGAAGCTGCACTGCTTGGGGGCTAGGTCCAGCTAGGATAGATGTACTGGCGGGGCTGAGAACGCGTGTTCATTTTTGTCGCTTGTGGACTACTGAACACCACTGGTACTGTCTGCCCCGAGGGAAATGCTGGCTGTGGGAGTCCAGGGGATGGGAGGGCTGGCAGGTGGGCCCTGTGGGCTGAGGATCTTTGTTCATTTCAACTGGTGCCACATCAGGCTTCCCCGCAACAGTGCCTTTAATACTTTTAAGAATAAGTCCATGAACAACAACTGTATAATGGTACTTGGTGGCATATTTTATAGTAAACAATTATAAGCTGTTTAAATGCTCAGCAATAGGGGTTTAAGCAAATTATGGTAGAACCATGTAATGAATCCTGTGTGTTCAGAAGACTATTAAAATTATGTTTTGGAGACTGTGAAATGAAATGACAAAATGCTCATAATGTACTGCCAAGAGAAAAAGAAAAACAAAACAGACTATCAAAATCTTAATGGCCTATGACTCTAAATTTATGAATAATACAATTAAAACCTGTGTATCACCAAAAAAGAAGAAGAAGAAGAAGAAGAAGTCCACAGTGTGGCCTACAGGTTCTGGGCATCTGCTGGCCTTCAGTCTCCTTCAGTACGCGCTGTCGAGCCCCACGTAGCCACACGGATGCAACCCACAACCATTTCTGGCTCCCCACACCTCAGTGTTTATTTTCATCACTTTGAAAAATAAGGTTTTCATCATGCGTATCTTCTTAGAATGGTTTTTGGAATACTTTACTTGCTTTATGAAACTCAGAACTCCTGCAGTAAAAATGTATTCAGATTTTATTCTGTCACTCAAGCAGTGAAAGACCCTAGCAGACTGTGTGCCCCCTTATCTGCTGGTATCTGCCTCTCCTGACTACTTTGAGTGTGTAAATTGAAAAGGGCTTTCTGTCAGAGCTTGGGTATTTTTAATTTTTAACTAATCTGACACTGATTTCCTAAGGCTTCTTTTTCAAGAACTTTAAAAAGTAGATGAGTAGTTTGCTTTTCAGAGTCTTAATACATTCCATATTTCCTTTTGACTTGTACATGGGAAAATAGTGTATTACTATAGCTTCCAGCTAAGTCATGTTTTGTTGTTCAATGCCTCCGAGTCGGTTCCGACTCATAGCACAGGACTACTGTATTGCAGGAGGAAATGTCAGCCTTGGAACTGAGTTCTGAAGGATGCACTGGGTCTGTGTGCAAATGTGTGAAAAGATTTCTGTTAACAGGGAAGGTAAATAAGACTGTCAAGGTCTAGATTGCAGGTAGAAAAATATGAGGAAGCTTCAAAAAGCTTGTGGAAAAACTCCACTACCTTTAATTTAATTTTTCCATGAACTTTTTGAAGCCCCTTCATACAAACTTCTCACTGAAATTACACATTAAGAGATTCCAGCGGATGTGAAGAATACAAACTCGTATCCAGGTGAGTTTGTTCTCTGAGCCAGAGAACTCTCTCTGATGGTCAAATGTTAGCTTTACTAGAGTTGGAATCAGCTTAGATTACTTTGATTTCAATATGCCTCCAAATTCATCCAATTCCCCCATTATTTACAATGCATATGTGGTCAAATGAATGTTCCTACTTTGGAATCCTTAGTAGCCACTGAATCAGAACTGTTCAAAGCCTTCTAAAATTTGCCCCAGGCCTTTATTCCCAACCTAATTTTCCATGACTTCCTTCTATCTGCATCCAAGCTGACCTCTTTTACCACAAGCCTGCATGGTACTGCTTCCTCCCTGCTCCCCCTTGGATGTGGATCTGGGAGAGGTTGATTGAGTGTGTTAAGCTTTGGATTTTCACCTTGCATCCAGAAGGGAGGAGATAAGGCTCTTACAAAATTTCCCTGTGTACCTTTTTTGGGGGACTGGGTTTGTTGTTGTTGTTTTAAAACATTGTGTTGTTAATTGAGTGAATGTTTACAGATCAATCATCAGTCCCACATTCAACAAATCATATTCTTCATGTCATTACAATGATTGCAATCCCTACCATAAGTTAACAGTATTTGTCTCTTTATTAACTTTAACTCATGCATTCCTTCCTGTGTTTTCTACTTCATCTTTCTTGTGTCAACCTCTCTCTTGTTGTCTAATACCGTCTCCATCACCTAAGTTTATATGTGTCTACTCTTTACTCCAAGGAGCTTCTGGTAGCGTAGTGCTTACAAGTCGGGCTGCTAACCTCAAAGTCAGCAGTTCAAAACTACCAGCCATTCAGTGGGAGAAATATTAGGCTTTCTGCTCCAGTAAAGATTTACAGCCTCGGAAATCCTATACAGGGTCTATATGAGTCGGAACTGACTCTGCGGCACACAACCACCACCACCACCCTCTACCCCATGAATAACTTCCTTCCCTCCCACCCCTGGTGGCCATTATAGATGTTTCTTTTAGAAAGAAACCCTTTTACAACAGTGATCTCATACAATATTTGTTCTTGTATGATTGACAAATTTCACTTAGCATAATGTCTTCCAGGTGCATCCATGTTATAAAGTATTTCACAGACTGTTCATTATTCTTCAACATGTAATATTCTGTTGTGTGTATGTACCAAAGTTTGTTTAACCATTCTTCTGTTGATGGACATTTAGGCTGCCTCCATCTTTTTCCTATTGTAAATAATACTGCAGTGAACACGGGTGTGCAGATATCTATTCCTGTCATGGCTCTCATTTCTTGAGGTTATATACCAAGTAGAGGGAATGCTGGGTCATACAGTATTTCTATTTCCAACTTTTTAAGGAAGTCCCATACCAATTTCCACAGTGGTTGCATCATTTTACAGTCACACCAGCAGGTCTCTGAGACTGGGATGTGTTTTTGAAAAGGGGGAACATATTTACAACTTTGGAACTAAAAGAAGAATACAGTCTCTTGGAAAATCCTTATGGTCTGCTATTAGGCTGCTGTGTTTAGTGCTAATTAGACTGGCCTTTCCCCACCACCCTGGACTTCAGAATGCCAGTATCCTGGTATTTAGGATTGGGATGATCACTTCATCTTCCACCGTATGTTTCAGGGCCCTGTTTGATTATGACCGCACTCGGGACAGCTGCCTGCCAAGCCAGGGGCTCAGCTTCTCTTATGGCGACATTCTACATGTCATTAATGCCTCCGATGATGAATGGTGGCAGGCGAGATTGGTAACTCCACATGGAGAAAGTGAGCAAATTGGTGTGATCCCCAGTAAGAAGAGGTGAGTTGTCATGATCTTGAGAGAGGCTTTTCTTGCCTTCTTACTGGTATTTTACTTCCTTTTTTTTCATGTCATACTATATGTTCCTTGAGAGAAGGATGTTTCTTACTCCTTTTTGCTAGAGAGTTGGTGTTCAGGACATAGTTCTGACTAAATGAATCATAAAGTATCTCTTTGCCTGCTACAAGCTCACTGATGAGACAAGTAATAAGACTTCTTTCTGACTCCAAAACAGGGTGGAAAAGAAAGAACGAGCTCGATTGAAAACAGTGAAGTTCCATGCTAGAACGGGGATGATTGAGTCTAATCGGGTAAGTAGGAATCTTCAAGGAAGTCAGTCAGTATGTGAAGAGGGATAAGAAGCGTGCAGCTCTGGCTGATGTACAAGAGAACTGGGGAACACAAAAGAATATCTCCTTTACAAGGGGCTGGCTCTGTCCTATCAGAATGCTGACTGCTTTTCAGAAAGCAGAGAGGGCTAGTCTGGATTCTTTCCCCATGGGTAGCTGGCTCTTGAAGATGACTTAGAATTGGACTGTCTGGAATGATGACTTGCTTGGGTTAAATGAAACTACTTGTGAGTTGGAGCTGTGGGGACGGACCTTGACTATAACCTGGCCTCATCATCTGACCAGAAAGACCAGCCCCAGAGCTCCAAAATTCCTTTTAGATCAAGTGAGGCATGAGGTATCTTGCCATTCACTCCCTTTCTTCTATAAGCTTCGCAGGCCAAAGAACTTCTGCAGCAGTAAAGGGAAGAAACACATGGAGTAGATGACTCTGTATACTAATGGCATCGTAGGGTCCAGGAGGCTACAGTGACTTTTGTTCTTTAGGAAGTACTAGTGAGTGCTGTGAGTCTGAATTAGGAAGAAACCTCTTACATCCCTACAACATTTTCCTGTAAACATAATTTTCCTCTTACATCAACATTCATTAATCTCATAGACTCATTTGTGAGAGATGGTCTTTTATTTAGCTCACCATTGTCTTCATTTCAGTTTTTCTTGCATGCTTTAAAATCCATTGTTCTGTTTGTTTTTTTTTTTTTTTCCTTCTGTCCTTCCCCTCCATCTTCATGTTCTTTCACAGTCGATCAAAACGAAACGTAAAAAGAGTTTCCGCCTCTCTCGAAAGTTTCCATTTTACAAGAGCAAAGAAAACATGGCCCAGGAGAGCAGCATACAGGAACGTAAGTAGCAGCAGAGTACAGAGAGCAGACCATCCATCGCCCTGTCCTCTCTTCCTCATTTGCACCTTCCCTTATGAGGAGGCTGAGAAAGTGTGTGTGTCCATGTGTGCATGTGTATGCATGTATACCTTTATATTTGCACAGAATCAGGGTAGAAATTGGTTTGCCTGAGGAGATGTTGGATCTCATTTGTTCGGTTCCTCAGTCAGATTGAATGTTGGAGGCTATGAAGGAGGTGAAATTTGGTCAAGGGCCAACCTGCCAGGAAATCCCTAGAATTGGTGTTGGAGGTGCCTGACTGAGTTTACTGTTATGCTGATGAATAGTTTTGAGATTGTCAGGTTTAGAAAAATGCCTTAGAAAGATAACAAGGTCTAAGAACTTAGTGTTGCTCTCCTGGCTTCTTCCTCTTGTGTTTTCTTGTCCTTAATTTCACTCATCTATGTCAAGAGAAGAACCTTTTCTTTCCTGGACACCTAAAGTTGAGGGTATTTCTTGAATTACTCAGATGTACATGAAATGCATATGATACCCATTGAACTCCTAACAGACATACTGTAATCCTAGAGTGATTGAAAAGCCTTTTTTTTTTTTTTAACCTTCATGCTTCAATGATTTGACATGAAAAGGGTGTTGTTCAAGTATCCACACAAAGATTTATTGAGAAACACAAAGCTGATTTGGTAGAAAAGGGCATAAAGTTGAGCTCAAAGAACTTTAAGAACCAATTTAACTGTTGATAAATCTTACTCTCCCATATTGTTGTTGTTAAGTGGCATTGAGCTGGCTCTGACTCATACCAACCCTCTATACGGTTTCCAAGGAGTGACTGGTGAGTATCCTACTGTGCCATACCAGTACTCCTATCTGCCATACACCACAGAAATTAACTGCTCTGACCCTAACCTTAAACATCAGTTTGGGCTTATGAGATAGTTTCTTGTTTGTTTCACTGTGAATTGTGAACATCTCTCGTTTACTGGTGACTCTTGTCGCACTGTAGGATAAACACTGGACTGATAACGTCAGGCTCAGTGGTTCAAACCCTCCAGCCACTCTGTAGAAACCCTATAGGGGGCACGATGAGTCAGGACCAACTCAATGGCACAAAATAACCACAACAACTTCTATCTTACATGGAGGCATCTTGGGGTCCTGTGCTGTTGGGACTGCAAGAGCCTGACAAATTCTTATAGGAAATGTACTTTCTGTAGGTCAGCTTAGTGCATGGTCATGGAATATGCAGTATGCAGAGACCATTGCTGTTTGGGGTAGTAACTGGTAGATAGAAGGGTGCCCTCATCCTGGTCATGGATGGATAGCTTAGTAAGGGCAACAGATGACGTTCTGGTCTGAGACATATTCCTAAGGTGATGTCACTACAGTTCACCAGATGAATCCAAAAAACGTCATACAGAGCCCAGCCTGGTGAGATGTTTGCTGTTTCACGTCCCAGTTGGAGTGTAGGGTCCCTGCCTGTTGAATGACAGAGTTTTGAAACTGCTTAGTGCTTGTTCTCTAGAAGTTGGGCCCATCCCCTAAGGGCTACACAACTCAAGACAGATTTGAAGTATTGGGTGAGAACTCCTTGGGATGATTATAATTGCTTGCCCTACCAGTCACACATAGATGTTTGCTACTTCATGAACCCACGAGGGGAAATGCCACCTTCAAGAACATGTCCTGTAGGCCTATTAGCTGTAGATCACCTCAGAAAGATAGTCCACTCCAGCGTCCTCTGGCAGCAAATTGGCCAGCATGAAGTCCAGATATCTTGCCTTATTCAAAGTGTTATTTCTGTAGCAAAGTTCTTCACCTCACTATAGTTATAGATCTTCATAGTATTTCATACTTCTGTTACTAATGCTCACCTGGCTCTGTATTCTTCCTTCCCCTTGTCTTTTTCTCTATTTCCTCTTTTCTCCCAAATTCTTTTTTTCCCCACCCTCCCTCCCTCCCGTCCTTTCTGTCCTTGCTGTCTGTGAAATCAGGACTTCCCTGGGTTAAGTGACGATTATTATGGAGCAAAGAATCTGAGTAAGTCCAAGTTACGCACCATTAACTGTATTTCTGGCATGAATGGAAATACGGGGGGTGGGGCATAGGGGATATGGGTGAGGGGGAAGTGGGGGGAGGGGAGTGTTTGTGAAAACTCTGATATCCAAGCAGGAGGAAATGCATGTGGCTCTGAATGTCACACTTTGACTCTGGATCCTGGCACCCTAATAAATACATATCATTCATGCCTGTGTTTTCCTTTTATAGGGAGATATTTTGGTATCCCACCTAAGAAGTGAGGTGGGCAAGAAGTGCTACTCTAGGGGTGACCAATCAGTTAATCTCTAAACTGCTGCTGAGATGAGGAGTGTCAGCTGGTTGACACAGCACTTAATGACTGGGTTTAGGAATTGTGACTCCTACCCTCTTGCTAACTGGGGGCAATCTGCATCTGGGATTGCCCAGCAGATTTGGAGGCCTGTGCCAAAACAGCCATGAGCCAGCTTTCCACATAGCATTTCTAAGGGGCTGAGCTGATGATAGTCTCAGCAACACTGATGGGCCATATCTCTCTAGTGCCTTATCTTGGACAAACTTCTGCTGACCTCTCTATTCTGGAAAATAATCCTAGAGTAGAAAATGCAGGGACAAAGATGATGGGGCCTTGGTGTTCTTGCTGGGTTCTTTCAGCATATACTCGCCTTTAATAAATAACAAAGATGTGAAAGTAAAGGAGTTTCCTTAAGACTTTACCCTGGTGATTGTTTGGAAACCTAGTTACATGTGGCAACTCCACCAGCCCTTCCTGGGGGACCACAGCATACCATAGTCTAGGACAATATTGTCTTGGCTGAAACAAGCAGTGTCTCTATCCATAGTGCATGTGCCCATGTCTCATCTTCATAAACCTGTCTTCTTGTGAGGGGTGGGCTTTATTTGTGCCAAACTGTGCCTTGTGTCTCCTAGGAGTGCCAGCTTCTCTGCTTGCAGTTTCACCACCTACACTCAAATGTAGCAATTCCCAGTGGTTTAAAATAGGATGGCTGTTTGGCCCTCTAATAATTCTTGTTTATTGTCTTGGTGTATTGACTTGTCTGTCTTATGGTGGATAGAGGAGCATCCCTTCACCTCACACCCCGCCCCCTGAAGCCAAGCCTATCTTCTAGGTAGAAGGCTGTTGGCTCCCACCAAATGGTAAAAGCATTGTTCTTGGTGGCTGCTCAGTTCATTCACAACTTAGCCTCTTAGTTCTGAAGCTTCACACATTCTGTCTTTCAGGGTCTGTCTGGGCAGGAAATTCTAGGGCAGCCTGGTCTCTTTATGCTACTGTCACTATCTTGACTTTTCTATTGTTAACTTGGGAGATGAATCTTGAGGTAGGATTTGAAACCATCTAAGTCAATTCTTTTGAGTCAGATGAAAATTATGTTACTGAAGAAAGCAAAGCTTGTAGTGTATAGAGAGAGACTTGGCAGACTGAGAGGTTCTTGGGGACAAGTAGGAGGTGGCCAAAGGCTCAGGATTGGAGCTGTGCCTCCAAGTTGGTAGCCTGGATGTGGCATGCCTCCTGTTGCCTGATTTGGTTGGCAGTTCAGTATTTTTTCTCCTGGAGCATTTGAATTTTGTGCTGTGTGTGACCTCTCAGTGGTGTGTTCTGAATCGGAGTCTCTTTCTTGTTGGCTTGCAGAGGGAGTGACATCCAACACCAGTGACAGCGAAAGCAGTTCCAGTAAGTGTGTGTCAATCTTCACCATGTTGCATAGCTCCACTATGTGTTCCAGCCGTTTTTCATATCAACGTCGCACAGCTGCCATTTCTGTTTAGAGGCTAGTGCTTCTTTTAGCCATGAACACTTTGAGATCCTGGAAATGCTGTGGCTGGTTCATTCTCCTTAACAAAATAAGGTTTGCCTTGTGGGTAATTCTGGCCAGGACCTGACTTAAAAACATAACTGGGACCCTGGAAAGGTTGAGCTGCCAATAAATAAATTACTGCCATGGGCACTGTGGGACACAAGTTTGTTCAGAGACCAAAAGAAAACTGGCTTTTGTTGGATATAATCCTGAATCTGCTTTTCCAGGGCACTAGGAGCTGGGTTCCTAGACTCTACTCCAGACCTAGTGAATCACAGTCTCTAGGAAAAACACTGGACTGCCAATGGTTCAAACCAAACAGCTGCTCCTCAGAATCTATATACAGGGTTGCTATGAGTCAGAACTGACTCAATGACAATTAGCAACAACAACAGGAGCTAGGTAAGGCTTGAATCCCTGAGTGACACCAATGGTTACGCAATTGAGAACTAGCTGAAAGTTAGCTGTTCAAACCCATCCAGGGGCACCTTTAAACACAGGCCTGGCAATCTGCCACAGCCTTGAGCAGTTCTACACTGCACACGTCGGGTCACCCTGAGTCAGAATCAACTCGACAGCAACTAACAACAACAACATCCTTGCCTTTTAGCTGGGTTAAAGGATCTAAGTTTTCCTTTGGAGATACCATGACCATAGCAGAAAAGCCACAATTCAAACCTCACAAATTTTGGGAGTAGTGGCCTCTCAGTAGTTGTGATGGCTAAAGGCCACTGCTCCCAAAGTTCATGAATAAAGCTCAGAAGAAGACTTTTAGCAAGCATCTCGTGACTTAATGTGACTATCACTCCTATCCCAGTACTACTGTCGAGTACTTTAGGACCTCCAAGCACCCAGGCCACTGTTGTAGGAAAACCATATTATTGCTAGGCTATATACTGATCTCCCATGAGGAGACAGCAGAGCTCACTCAGCATTGCTCTCAGAGGGCACTTGGAACCTTAGCCCACCCATGTGCCACTTTCTGGACGCTTCTTCTGTGTTGGGAGAGATAGTTAGATCCTTAAAAGGGTCAAGTTAGGATGCAGCTTTAGTGATCTGCGTGAGTCCTGACTTCCCTACCCACAGATGAGGGGATCAAGGTAGTTAGTGTGTCTTGACCAGTTGAAACTTCCCTTTGATTCTTACTGGAACAAGAGTGCAACTGAGCACATTAACTGTCACCTATAAGAATTGTTCCTGATTCTACATTAGCTTTTAAAGCCTGTTAATTATTGGCCTTTTTCCATTTACTTTGCTTTAAGTTAAAGAATTCACCTAAATACAAAGAAAATTATATCTTTCTACTCTTAAAAGAACTTACTGTTTGCTTAGCGAAGCAATATAAAATAAACTAAAAGAGAATGATAGAAGATATCAAACCCACATGGCAAGTTGTGTGATGTTGTAAGCACAAGATCAATAAAAATTCAGAATAGGTAGAGAAGTCTTCTTGAAAGATTTAAAATGAAATCTATTCTGACTTAATAAATAAAATATATATTATTATAAAGGATTATGAGTAGGGACAACAGGAAGAAGATTTGACAAAGGTATATAGGCAGTGGTATGTAGCAGAATTTGACTGCAACAAAGATTTACTTTAAATAAATAATTAGGAATGACAAGAAATAGATTGGAGCCAGATTTTTAAACATTTAGAACATTTTAGCTCAGACTGAGGATAAGCAGAAATGTATCACAGGTAGGGTGTCCAGTAATAAAAATAATATTTTATGGACATTTTCCTGCCACCGAAGTCCAGAATGGGTTAAATGAAAAATATACCAGAGAAGTAAAGAATGGGCAATATGAGGGAACTTCAAAAAGTTAGTGGAAAATGGGATTAAAAGATAATGGAATTTTTCCACTAATTTTTTGAAGTTCCCTGGCTTATTATTGTAGAATACCAGACTAGAACAAATACCCAAGGATGAACTGAAGATAACCACTCGTCTGTTACTTTGTCATACTGTGGGGCTTGCCTATTGCTGTGATGCTGGAAGGTATGCCACCAGCATTTAAAATATCATCAAGATCCCCATGGTGGACAAGTTTCAACTGAGCTACCAGACTGAGACAGACTAATAGGAAGGAGAGGTGGACTACTTTGAAATGGTTACCAACTGAAAACCTTATGAATAGCAGTGGAACATTATCAGATATAATACCAGAAAATGAAAACATTATGAATAGCCACCAGAATATTGTCAGATATAGAACTGGAAGATGAGACCCTCAGTTTGAAAGCACTCAAAATGCCAACTGGGAAAGAGTTGCCACCTCAAAGTAGCATTGACTGTGATGACGTGAATGGAGTAAAGTTTTCAGGACCTTCATTTGCTGATGGGGCACAATTAAAAATGAGGAGAAATAGCTATAAGCATCCGTTAATAATCAGAACATGGAAAGTACGAAGTATGAATCTAGGAAAATAGGAATTTGTCAAAAATGAAATGGAATTCATAAAGATCGATATCCTAGGCATTAGTAAGCTGAAATAGACTGGTATTGGCCATTTTGAATCTGACAATCATATGGTTTACTATGCTGGAAACATCAAATTGTAGAGGATTGGCATCACATTAAGCATCAATAAGAACATTTCAAGATCTATCTTGAAGTACAAAGCTGTCTGTAATAGAACAATATCCATATGTCTATAAAGAAGAGTGGACTCCTGGTGTGGTGCTGTAGGATCTGCACTGGACTGTGAACCACAAGGTGAACAGTTCAAACCCACCAGCTGCTACTTGGAAATCCTATATAGGGTCATAATGAGTCAGAACCGACTCGACAACACTTTACAACAATAACACAAGGAAGAGCAGTTAATACCACTATTATTCAAATCTATACACCAACCACTAAAGTCAGTGATGATGAAATTGAAGAATTCTACCAGCTTCTTCAGTCTGAAATTGATCAAACATACAATCAAGATGTATTGATAATTACTGGTGATTAGAATGCAATGATTAGAAGCAAAGAGGGAAGGATCAATAGTTGGAAAATATGGCCTAAGTGATAGAAATGATGCTGGAGAGCACATAATAGAATTTTGTAAGACCAATGAAATCTTCATTACAAATACCTTTTTTTAAACAGCATTGAAGTGTAGAGATGCTAAAGTAAATGGAAGAAATGAAGAGGTAAAAAAGCCAAACAGAACATTTCAAAAGGCAGTTC